ATCTCCTCTCTCAGGGTTTGACCCGAGAGAACAGCCAAAAGAAACAAATGTATGTGACACCCTACAGCTAAATTATACTAACGGCAGCACAGAGTGGGGCTCCTAGTCCTCTTCTGAGCCCTCCTCCCTGCCTCCACTCTAACCCCACTCCCTGAGGACCCTGGCTCCGTGTTGCCTTCTACTGTTGGATTTGCCTGCGAGTCCATCCCTCTGTTATTCATCATGGTCCGTGCAACCCTGCCCCTTTACTGGAGCTGCGGAAGTTGATTAACGAAAGGGTCTACTTGCTCTGCACACTGTGCCAAGCGCTCTCCCACACTTCCCCTGACCTGTCTGTACAGAGTAAGCTCTGGATTTCTTAAGCTACGTCTGACTTCTAATTTTGCTGTTTCTCCTCTACTAACCTGGCTTCAATTCACAGCATAGCCCCCTCCCCTTTTTCTGGTCCTTTATATCTATCTGCCGGACACTGGCCCTCCTGAGCCAGTGGAACGGATCATCTTTGATGCCGACTGGCCCTTGGCCCCCATGGCCCCGCTACCCTTGTCCTGCAAGTCTTTAGCACACAAGTGAAGTCTGCTTGGGTCTGGGTAGAATATCTTGAGACCAGCACAAGGGAACGGTACATGTGGGCGTATGAGAAGAAGGAACTAATTATATAGTCCTACTTAATATGTTCCTTTCTAAGTGAGATGACTTCCTTAGGGCCAAGTGCTTTCATCCGCATATTCACAAAACAATGCCAGAAGCCTCAGGAAACTATTAGAAAGCAATTTATCTTCTAGCTATGCATTGTGTGTGTGTGTGTGTGTGTGTGTGTGTGTCTTAGCATACACTTAGCAGCAGCCATTCCTGACCTTCTCTAGCCCCTGTGTGCTCCCTGTAGAAAACTACTTCTACTCTGGAGATAATCTTCTCGTGGTGGAATTCAAGGCCGCCCCGCGGTCATCTCCTTTTCGAAGCCTGGGTCTCTACACCCATCTTTCTTCTTTCCAGATCCGGAAGAGAAGCAAGGACACTTCCGCTCGTCCTCCCATCCCATCCACCCCTGTCTCCTTGGGCACCAAGACTTCACCCACCGCCCACCCTCATCTCCTCCAGCTCAAGGTGCTCACCTGGACAGTCACAAACCGAGGGCTCACAAGGGACCTCCAGGGTCTGAGCTCCTCGCACAACCCTCACCCACAGCCAGGCCATTCCGAATTGGAGGCAAGAAACAGAACACCTCCTCACCACAGAAACTGCCACTCCATCTGCCTTGAATTTTCTCCCTCTGCCTCGACCTTGGAGCAGCCGTGCCCTATCTAGAACATTCCGGTGCTGGACCCCTCGTGGTCCTCCAGGCCCAGTCCCAGTCCCAGAGCTATGCCCCTGTCCATGGCCGATGTGGAGTCAAGAAAGCCCCATGCTTGGCTTGGGGATGGGGAAGGGGCCAGGGAAGCTGGTGGGGTGGAGGACGAGGCGGGACGGGGAAGGGAGGCAGGGGCTGCCGCCAGGGGTTCAGTTTTCGGCTGGGCCTAGTGACAATGGAGGCAAACAGAGGTGAGAGGCAAGTTGCACAGAGCAGTCTGGCGTCAGTACCAACAGGAACCACAGCCAGGTGTTCCTGATTACGTCACCCTCCCTACAAAGCCCAGGCTTGACATGCTCGGATTAATTCCATGCTTTTGGCTGGAGGCAGAGAGGCTGCCTCATTTACTAAGGCCCTTCTGCTGTCAGCACCTTGCCATCGCTGTTCTGCCCCACTGGATCCTCAGCGTTCCTGGTTCCTGGCTATCTCGTGGCACCGTCAATGCTCATCTTACTCAGTCGTCCCCCCCCCCACCCCGCCCCGTCTCTCTGATCCGCAGAGCCAAAATTCGGACCACACCGGGGTAGGCCGGGATTCACTGGACATAGACTCAAGGTCCCAGAGACAACAAGAAGCCGGAAGGAAGCACCCAAAGTTCTCCAAATAGGAGGATGTGGGGATCCTGGGTAAGAAGTGGAGGGTGCCGGCAGAGCAGCGCATGGAGTCCGGGCCCAAGCTGTAGACAGTTCCAGGGACACAGCCCACGGGGAAGAGGGGCGGCAGCCTCCCTCATCCGGACAACTTAGCCAGAGAGGTGACGACTTCCTCGAAGCTCGGCATTGGCAACACAGAGGAAGCAGGCCCGGTGCCGAGGTCTCACCATCGCCGTCTCGCTCACGAGTTAAGCCCGAGATGAAAGCATCTTCTTAAGTCACCCAGCTACCAGAACCCACGGGCACTGGTCCAAGAGCAAACTCGGATTAGCAAGACCGATGGAGGACTTTCAGTTAAGGAGCTAATGGTTCTATTTTCAGTCCATGAGAGAATTTACGCAGAAAACCCTTTTTTAAAGCCTGAGAATTCTTGGCAACCTCCTTCTAACCTCCTCCTTAGTTCTACCATGCTATTTGCATACCTCTTTGTCAGCGTTTTTCCTTGACCCCCTCACCAGGGCCTCACCCCACCGCATTTCTGAGACGCGTGGTGGATGCTATGCAGATGGGGACCTAACCCACCCCCTTTCATGCCTACTTACAAGTCCCTGTCTCTCTTACTAAGAATGGCCAACGCAGCATCATGCTACCACGAAAACGACCAGTGGAGGCAACCATATGTCTTTTTAGGAAAAGGCCTACAAAGGTGCATTTTCCCCATCAATACAGAGAATAGCCAGGCTGGGTTCTGGAACTTTCTATGGCCGGACATAGGACCCACCTATTCTATGTGTGTGAGAGCAGAAGCCTTCTCAGGCCAGTCACAGGATCCGGTTAGAACTGCTAACAGCCCCATTGTCAGAGTGCTTTCCCATGCATCTCATTTAAACCCTGTAGCAGCTGCGCCTTCTCTGCACTTCAACACAAGAAGTTTTATTCTTATGTACAGCGATCATTAGGGTTGAATTAGTTCGATCGCACATTCTCTGGACTTTGGACAAGGGGAAGACTCTTTCACTTTAGCTATGGATCAATCCAATGTTCATTCCTTTTGCGCTGAAGATCAAATCATCATTAGTGACTTTTTATTCCAGATTTTGCCTTTATGTTTTCCTTTATTAAATGATTTTTAAAATGAAGATTCCTGTACTTTAATTTGCCTTTTTTTTTAACCTCCCTATTTGGGGAGAAATACTCTAGCTAATACAAAGGATCATCAAACATTTCATGTGAAATGCATTGTGTAAAAAAAAAAAAACAACTATGTATGAATATCAAAATTTGGGGCACCAAAACCAGCCTCTCTTTTAATTCCATTTGTGGGAACTTTTCGAAACCTCCTCATAACACAAAGAGATGCCTAAAGTTCAATCGCCACACTTAGTAGGACGCTTACTGTTATTCTGAGAACTGTGTTCTTGTGGTTGTTGGGGGTGGGGAGCCCTTGGGGAGGATGGGAGAGAGCAATCACAGGCAAGTTTAAACTTCCAGGGATTCCGAGATGTTGGTCTCAAAATGGAATTTATCTTCAAATCCCAAGATTATAGATCTCCTTCCAAACTGCATTCCTACATGGTTTAGAGAACAGTTGAAAAAGGAATGGCTCTCCCTATTTTGATTGACATTAAAAACACTGGGAAAATAGTTTGGAACCTGATCTCTTCCAGGGAAGAACAGTAATCAAACTCTCGCTCTCGCCTGCAGCCTTTCTCTCGCACTTACTCAGAACTGTTGCAGGGAAAGACATCCACAGGGAATTCCGTTCTCATATATCACTTCTAGGGGAGAGAGGCGTTCTCACCCCACGATCCCCCACCTGAATCTGAAGAGAGGATGGTTCAACGAATCTCAACCCAGAACCGCCTCACCCCGTGGCGTCAGATCAAATTGAATCAGTCGCTGGGAGCTGGGAGCCTGGACTACTCAAGATTCTTTTTCAGAATAATCAGATGTCGCCTTCTTGCCATGAAGCACCTGGTTTCCCCTTACGTTCTACCCAGACCTGCCTGGTGTTGCCAAATACACGAGGAGGACTCCACCACGTCAGTGTCCGAGCCCATGTGCACAGCAGCCTTGTTAACACCAGGGACCTGTGCACACTGAGCACTTTGTTCTCGCTGCCTTTTTGACCATGTATTGCCACAGCACTGAAATTCCCCCACACTTCACAATCAGCTCTTTCTGAAAGGAATTCCGGGCTGCTACCAGCTCGCTGCCTTCTATGTCCATCTTGACATAAGAGCCTGTCTCCTTCCTGGAACACATTTCCAGCCTGCATCTTTCCAAAGTCACCAGGCACACTTCCAATCAGAAAAAAAAACGCGATTTTTTTTTTCAGAATTAGTTTGGTAGGAGGTTAAAGAGGATTCCTAAAAACACACCCACTGGCAGATGGTTTTTTTCTCCTTGTTGGGTTTCGAAGGCAGCAGATTACCATAGGCATCTTTATCAGGTCAGTGACAGTAGCCCAACTGCACTAGTGTTTTTTTGCATCCAAACTTATTTCCTTGGAGCTCAGGAAGTCAAGGACTTAAGTACTGGTGACAGAAAACGACAGAAATGCCCTGGGTTATTAAAAAAAAAAAAAAGCCATCCCTTTTTGGCTTCTCGGCAACCTGAAAAGTTGTTGTTTTAAAAGCAAAATCTTTGAAATGTTTGGTAATAAAAGACACAGAGACACAAAAGAGGTAAAAAGCAGGACAGCCTGCCTATTAACACTGGTCTGTGGCTATCAGGATATCAGGTACAATCCCACATAGCTCTCCTTAAAGAAAAAAAAAAGTCTAGCTTAATCAAAGTTGTCAGTGCACCCTGAGTATCAATCTCTATGTGATCTCTCCGCTCGTCCCAACTCCAGAAACAAAACGTGCACTCTCATTCTCATCCTGTCTGCCTTCCGGGAACCTCCAGAGAGCAGGGAAGCCCAGCCTGGCTCCGGGAATGTACATGGTTTATTGCCTTGAACAATCCTGCATCTCCAGCTCCCTCGGCATGGAATGCAGATGAAACACCCCCCCCCCCTCGGGAAGCGAACAAGCAAGCTCCCTGCGCCTTACCTCGAGACTGGAACTTCTTCCCCGGGACTGAGCTGCAAAGAGAGGACCGATTTCCTTTAAGCAGGAGCACAGCAAGCGAGCCAGCCGGCAGGCAGGCAGGCAGCCTAATGCACACTGCTCTATTCAATAAAACTGCAGCCCGCCCTTCCTTGGCCCCTCCCAGAAGTCCATGCTAAGTGAACACATATCCCCTATGTTTACAGCCCGCAGTCGGTGGTATGCATTGTCCTGTAGCTTTTCTCATAGGCAGCCAATGACGACACCCGGCCAAGGTGATGCCGTCTGCCTGTGGAGCTGCCTGTCATTCCCTAGGCATGCTCAGGAAATCACTCATCAGAAAAACCAAGACCTAAAAAGCTCCGAAACTTCGTGCACGCTTGCCAAAACCAGCCTGCTCCATGCCCTTTTTTGGTTATCCTTAGCAGGGCCTCTGGAAGTGGATCCATTGTCAGGAACAGTCGCAAGAAATGTTCCTCTTGGAGAAGGAGGCTGACTCGCAGAAGGCGAATGGAGCTTTCAAGTGCAAAGTTAGCAGTAGATAAGTGTATTGGGGGGTGGGCTGGCTTTCTAAAAGGAAGGATTGTTGCTTTCAAAGGAGTTGCATGTACAAAATTAATTTAAACGTTGTGCAATTTAAAAACCTGAAATGGACAAGACCTAGGTCTTCTGTTTCAGGCAGCTCTAGCCTGAAAGAGGCACAGTCCTCCAAGTTTTGTCTACATACATTAAAAACAACTCCCTCCCTCCCCCGCTCCACACACACACTCACACACACACACTCACACACACATACAACCCCTGTATTTTCTTGAGCAGCCAACATTGGCCAGAATAAACCTCGAGCCAGAAATTCTACTAGGTGGGGTCCTGCAGGCTTGGGTGCCCTCGCTGGTTTTCCACGTCATCCCCCCTGCCCCAGCCCCAGCCCCAGCCCTTTTGTTTTCTCAGCTTTGGCAAAGGGGAGGTAGTGCTAGCTACTGGTGCACGACAGAGGGTGTGGAGGGCCCCACACCTGCACTGGGGCCGTTGGAGGCAGAAGCAGATTCTCACCCAGGTGCCCATACTGTTTTCGGGAATTCCCACAGGTGCTCTGAGCCACCGCTCACAGCTAGGCCGTGTGCTGTGAGAGGGTCCCAGCTAGGAGACGGGAAGTAGAATGCAGGGAACTGGTCTACCCCGCAGACAATTGTGGTCTTGTGCTTTTCAGCATAGAATTTACTCTGTGATTACTTAATTCAATAAATTTTTAAAAATCCTTTTTGGATCACCTCCTATTTGTCAGGCTTAGAGGTAGGTGCAGGGTCTGTGTCCCCTAATTGTCATGTCCCTGGAGACACTGCACCAGTCTAAAGCAGCAGTTGAAAAATATCTTCCAGAAAGAGAGCCTTGTGAACGCCTTGGGTTTTACTATGTAAGACTTGCCCTATTTCTGAAAATAAAATCTGACTTTGAAATGATCTCTGTTTAGGAAAAGGTGCCTGACCTTTGTGCCACATTCAGAGCTTGGGAAGTGACTGACCCACGTGGGTGGCTTCCCTCTTCAGCCCTCCAGACTGGACCAGTGACCCGGAGGTATCTGGATGGACTCTCCTCAATCATCTCTCTCTTGGGAAGACTACTGGCTCCTCCCATCCCGCTACTGCTGCCAGCCCCAAGAAAGCTCCAGCGAAGGCTCCCAGGCCAGAGGGAGAGGTGAGCTTGAGGCACCCTAAGTTAGAACTCAGGACACACTTTCCCAGAGAAACAAAATAAATAATGATTGGTGGGAATAGTACAGTCAATGTTGCATTTAAGTACACTTTGGCTCAACCAGGCATCTGTGGGACACCACCGTTTATAAAATCATTCCTATGGGAAAACGTTTTCCGATCTCAAATAAATTATTTGGAAACATGCCTTTGGAATCCAGCCAGTTTTGCTGCTAGGGGCCATCCCCTATCTGAACAAATTTTGAGATCAAAAAATATTTCTTGGTCTGGTAAACCCCTGAGCTTGAAGACCTAAGAGATCCCACAGCCGTGAGTTCTGAAAACAACTCCATTGGTGATGCCGGGGGAAGACATGGCCCCTGCCCAGAGACATCAGGGCAAGCTCTCTCCAGCCAGTGTCGTCCATGACGCAACGGTGCCTGTTTGAAGCGGCTCTTTCCCATGGCCACTGCTGAGTCTCTGCTAAGCACCCGTCTCCCTGTGTGGATGAGGAAAGCCCTTTGTTCGAACGGCATCAGACGTGTGCTGGCTTCCAGAGGAAGGCAAAGCCGTGCGACAAATGGGGACATATTATCAACAGGAAATGGGGAAGAGACATGCATTTGCATGGTTTTTAGAAGATAAGTGGCTAAATATTTTTGGAACATGCTTCTTTGAAAAAAAGAAGTATGTTTCCTGAGATAAATTCTGGATTCCTCATATATAGCAGATAGAGAGAGGTTGAGAAAGATGCAGCTTACTCTGTGTATCTGGAAATAGACTTATTGTGGACAGACTACATAGCTAGAAGAACACTTGAACAAATTTCATGATATATACGCCATGCCACAGAACACATTCCTTCTTTTTTTTTTTTTCATTTTGTTTCAAACAAACAGGAATAGAAAATAAAAGAGAATAAAAGGTAACAAGATATATATATATATATTCAAAAATTTTGCCCAATCTCTGCACAGGAAACTTTACTTCCATAGAGTTTACTTTTCCCAGAGGCCATGTGGAAACACAAACTTCAAATACACAAGATTTTTATTGGAAATTTCTGTGGAATATATTTCCCACTTGGATCATCCCAGATAGGAGCAGCTTTTCTATGACAGGGCACATCTGCCTAATTGAACCACAGTAAACCTAGAGAGACATTTGGAAATATCTGGATTTGTTTTATTTTTTCAGTTCCAACTGAGTGTCTGCTATCATGTAGCTCAGTAGCTAGCAATTAGATTTTGCTCATGTGTCGAGCAGGGAAAACAGGCCACACATTGTTTCATTCAAAATTAGAATCACTTCATATAATTCATGAAAAAAATACACACTCTTTCAGCTTAAAACATCTAATTTATTGCATATAAGAGCAGTTAAAAGTTTTTTTTTTTAAGATTTATTTACTTGAATCAGAGAGAGAGAGAGAGAGAATGAATATTGTCTATCTGTTCTCTCACTCCCCAGATGGCCACAAAATGGCCAGAGTGTTGCGCTGGCCTGAAGCCAGGAGCCTGGAACTCCCTTTGGGTCTCCCACACGGGTGACAGGAGTTCAAGCATTTGAGCCATCCTCTGCTGCCTCCCCAGGCACATTAGCAGGGAGCTGGATTGGAAGTGGAGCAGCCGGGACTCGAACCAGCCCCCAAATGCTAGCATTGCAGGCAGCAGCTTAACCCACTGTGCCACAGCACCGCCCCCCAAATTGAAACTTAAAAGGCAACATAACATACTTCTTAATATTATTTCAGTCAAATGAAACCTTTCCAGACACTCAAGTTTATAAAACAATAAAAGCAGACCAGAAAGAATCTCGATATCCAAATTGGACTACAAAGTACAAAAGAGAGAGAGAAAAGAAGAGAGTTTGGACTAAGAGCACTTGTGGACCTGGATGGGAAAAGCCGCAAATTGAATCTAATTGGGCAACAAAAAAGATAAGACCAAGACAGAAATTGTTTAAAATCTGAAAATTGGTTGACATAACACTAACAGTTTGAAAGTCAAAACAGAGGGAAGGAGGGTGGGGCGGGAAGTATCATTATGCTCTCAAGACTGTATATATGAAATCCATGTTGTTTGTTCCCTTTTTATAAACAGCATTTAAAAAAGAGTAAAAGCAAAAAGAAGATAGAACAAAGAATAGAAATATCATTTCAATAAATAACACTACTTGGTAAAGTTAGTAATCACAGGAAGAAAAACTTCTTAGGAAACTAGAAATGAAATCTTTACAAACATAACCAGAGACATTTGCCAGAAGTCTGTAACATACTTAATGATGAAATGTACAAAGCATTCTGATTATAACCAATAAAAAGAAAAGAATGACTACTATTTCTTCTACAGTTAAAAAATGCACAGGAGGTCTTAACCAGGACCCCAGAGATTAGAAAGAAAAACAAGTATCTTTATTTACTATGATAGGATTACTTGAGTAGGAAATGCAAGAGGAGATACAAACTATGGGAACTACTATAAGAGCTTAGCTAGATTCTCGCAACTAAGCTCAGTACAGAAAAGCCCAGAGTTCCTTGGGGTGTGGTTGGACAGAAGAATGACTACTAATGTTCTACAGCACAGTAGGATTTCTATGGCTGACAGCAAGTAATTGAATTTTTAAAAATAACTAATAGGAATCTAAATGTTCTCAAAGAAATTACATATCTCTGAGGTGATAGCAATACCAATTACCTTGATCCAACCATTAGACTTTGCATATATGTGCGACATTGTGCCCCATAAATATGGAAAACTGCTAAAGGTCAGAAAAAAATAAAAAGAAACAAGTCAAATTTTTAAAAACCTAGAATTCCTGTGATTAGCCACCTCTGATTTTTACATATAATAGGGAAATACCCTATTCATAATAAGAAGTTAATAACCTGGGAATAAATGTAATAAAATATGTGCAAGGAAGCTATAAACTGATTTAAGGACATAAAAGACCTGCATAAATGCTGAGATATATCGTTTTTTTAAAAGATTTATTTTATTTATTTGAAAGAGTTACAGAGAGAGGTAGAAAGAGAGAGAGAGAGGTCTTCCATCTGCTGGTTCACTCCCCAGATGGTTGCAACAGCCAGAGCTGTGCCAAACTGAAGCCAGGAGCCAGGAGCTTCTTCCAGGTCTCCCACGTGGGTGCAGGGACCCGAGGACCTGGGCCATCTTCTACTGCTTTCCCAGGCCACAGCAGAGAGCTGGATCGGAACAGGAGCAGCCAGGACTAGAAATGGCGCTTCAGGCCAGGGCTTTAACCCCCTGCGCCACAGTGCTGGCCCCAGATACACCATTTTCATAGGCAGCAAACCTCAAGCTCATAGATGTAAATTCCCCTCCAAGTATTCTGCACACTCAGTATTCCAGTTAAAATCCCCAAATGACATATGTTGTAGAACTTGACAAATAATAGTAAATAAAAAAGGAAAAATCTAAAAATAGCTAATAAAGGGCCAGCACTGTGGCACAGTAAGTTAATCCTCAACCTGCGGCACTGGCATCCCATATGGGCGCCAGTTCGAGATGGAAGACCTTTCTGTCTCTCCCTCTGTCTGTAACTCTACCTCTCAAGTAAATAAAAAAATAATAAAAACAGTTAAGAGT